TAAGGTTGTAAAATCTGATGATAAGAAACTTACTTGTTACAGTAAAGTAACTTAACAAAACACATGCGATAAGAGAATTATTTCCAGTAACAACAACTAATAAAGTAAATTATATCATACTTATTTAACAAATTTTATATATGTTATAAAAATATTTTTTGAATATTATGATTTAAATTTTTAGAAAAAATAATATTTAGAATGAAAAATAAATAAAAGGATTAGGAACAGCCATTTTTATTACTTTTTATTATCAAATAATTTAATATGTACACATATCAGTCAAGAGTTAAAATATTATTATTTTGCTTTTTTTGGAATTCTAACTAGAATAATTTTAGCAAAATTAATTAATTACAAAAGAGGAAATGATAATGATTCTTTTCTTCAATTTCAAGAAAATGTATTAGATTTTTAGAAATCAACAATAGGAATTAGATCAGAATTAGCAAAAGTAATTATTTATGATATTTGTATTAATTCTGCATTAGATGAATGTTTATGATTATTAATGGTTTTTTCATACTAATAGATAAAATCATTTAGATATAAATACTAATTTAATACTATATTTAAAAAAATTAAAACCATTTTTAAAAAAAAAACTTGGATTTATTTTTTTATTATTATTTGGCATATAAAAATTCTTGAAATAAGTAAAATTCATAATGATATTTTATATCAATATTGAATTAAAAAAATTATACAAACTGATCAGCAAATAAGATGGTTTTACATTGCAACTCCAATTGTTGATGATTTTAATAATTTTGATAAAGAAGAACAAAATATTGATAATGAGAATTTAATAACAGTAAGTAATAATAATAATGTTATTAAATAATAATAATAATAATCAAAAAAATAGAGATAATAAAGTAGAACTAAATACTAAAGAAAATGAAAATCAATAGAATGCTATTATTTTACAATGAATTGAAAAAGCTAATTATAAAAATTGAGTTAAAAATAGTAATGATGAATTATTATTTAATAAAGATTTAGATAATAATTTTTGAGTGAATACATAAAATATTTATCTAGTAAATGATTAAGATGTAAAATAAAAATTATCACTTCATTTTATAAATAGTTTAGAATAACCTACATATGTTTTTTTTTTGAAAACTTTTAATAAATATTATATTTATAATAATAAAAGATATAAATCAAAATACTTAATAATAAATGTAAAAAATTTTTTCAGAAGAAGTTCAAGACCTCTCTTTTCTTCTATCTTTAAACTTTTTTTTTTAATTTTTTTTTTATCAATTTTTATTTTTTTATTATTATTTATTTTATTATTTATTTATTTCTAATATTTAAGAATTTTATAAATAAAATTTAAATATAAAATTATATTATTCTCTATTTTAATTGGTTAAAATTATATAATATGTCATAAGTCATAATCTTTTGTAATGATAAATAATAAATAATAAGTCATATAAGTCATTTAAGTCATATGATGTTATATACTAACACTGATCTGAAGTAGTGTTTTACAAAAAATCTGATTCAATCTGAATTTGATACAGATCTGATAAATTAGAACAAATCAGATTTATCAGATTCAAATTAGATTTAGATCTGAATTTGGATTTGATTTAATTTGTTAGATCTAAATCAGATTTGAATTCAAATTTAATTTAATTTGACGAATTTAGATTTAGATTCATTCTATCAAATTTGAATTTATATTCAATCTAATTTATTAGATTTGAAATAAAAATTCCATTCTAAAAGTTAGAGACAACATTTATAATTAAAAAAATAAAGTTTATTATATTTTAATAATAAAATTTGTCCTGAACATCAAAGGTATATTTAGAGCTCTGAATCAGGTCAGGTCAACCTGTGACCCGACTTAACTCAACCCAAAAAATCCAGGTCGGATAGACAAATTTTCAGGTCAACATCAGGTCGGGTCAAGCTTATGATCTGACCTGATAAAATTTGGGTCAACCAATCAAATTAAACGAAATAAAATATTTAAAAAAAATTTTTTTTTTGTTTAATTTTATTTAATATACTTTTTTTTTATATTCTAATAAAGTTGTTTGTATAATTACTTTGTAATTTATTATAATCAAAAAGTTAAATTTGAAATTATAAACATTTTTGCAATTACATTGTTCAACAATTTAATTTTAATTTTTTTTTTATCTGTTCAATTATTCAAAGAGATATTTGAGCAATTTGGTCAAAGAAAATCGACTTTTATCACGTAAGTAAAGTTGTTCAGCAGGTTCGAAAATATGTGTATATAAAATTTTATTATAATTGGAATAATGGTTGTAAAGTTATACACGTTTTTCGTAATTGTATTATCTTACGAATTTTTTTTAATTTTATTTTTTATCTGTACAGTGACTTCAAAGAAATTTAAGTATTTTGGTCAAAGGAAATCAACTTTGATTGCATATGTGAAGTTGTTTAGCAGATTCGAAAATATATGTATATAAAATCTTATTATGATTGAATTAATGGTTGTAAAGTTATAAACATTTTTTGTAATTGTATTAGCAGTCACCAAATTTGCAGATTTATCACAACTTGTAATTTTTAAATTCTGCAGTTAAAATAATTATATTAGTATCTTTTTTTTTTGAAAAATAATCAAATGAAAAATGTATCAATATTTTTTTATATTTTTTTAAAAAAATATTAAACAAAATTAATAATTGTTTAATTTTCTTTTTTAGACAGATCAAGTCAGATCAGGTCAAATGTATATGCAATTTTATGTCTGACCTGACCTGACCTTATTAAGTCAGATTAAGTCAATTATCCGTCCTGATCCGACCTGTTCAGAGCTCTAATATTTGACAAAATTACTTTTTTTAATATGATGAAACTAACAAAACTGAAATTATAAAACTAGTTTTTTATAAATGACAAAACTATTTTATTTAATTAAAATATTAAAAAGAAGAATCTTTTTGATAAAACTATAATTTTTTAAAAAAGAGTTTAGGCAAATATTATTAATGTAAGGGTTTATAAAATAATTTTTTATACTAATCAACTTATCTCTCACTTGCATATCATTTGCAAAAAAAAAGATAAATATTAATGAATTGCATCAAACCTATTTCAAATCTTTTACAAAAACTGTTAATATACTTGTCTAATCTTATATTACATTTTAAAGTATTTTTATTAAAAATATTTTGCTTCTTCAAAAATAAGTAAATAATATTTTTCCTCTTGGTATAGCTTTTGATAGTAATATTGAATGTTAGATTAAAAATCTTTCTAAATATTAATTTTTTATAATTATTATTTCTACTGATTTTAATGTAAAAGATATATCTAACACTAATATAAACTTACCTAATTTTATGGATAAGATCATCTTTAGAACACCATTAATCCAAGAGTGTTATATAATATAACCTTTTTATATGTTATCAATTTCATAAAAAAGGGTAAAATAAATGTATTATAGTAAAAAAAAATTACCTTTTTTTGATTAATACAGTAGATTATCCTAGAACATATTAATATATTAATATATTAATATCCTAGGATAATTTACTTATACTAGACTAATATGTTCTAGGATTATTAGACTATTACCTAGTTACTGTTAAACTGTTACCTACTTAATGTTTTCAGTGCTTTATGACTTTTTTATTACCTTATAGTTATCTGCTTGTTTTATTGTTCTGCAGTCTTTTTGTTACTTTATGAATTTTTGATTGGTGTTAACCTTTTGTGTCTGAATGAATGCCAAATTCTATTTTAAAGTCATTGGCCTTCTGTGGCTTTTTAGATTCCTAGTTTTATGTTAAAGGTTCTGTTCTGTGTCTGGTTGGTTACCAGATTTTTTATTGGGCCTGCTGGCCTTTTGTAGCTGGTTGGATACCTGGTTTTATGTCAAGAATACTGCCTTCTGCATCTGAATAGGATCTCGATTCTATATTGAGAGGCTTACCCTTTACGCCTGCTTGATTGTCTGTTAAAATGCTAAATTGTGATAAAAAAATGAGTCAGGTGAAGCAGTGAATTTATGATTAATTTTTGTCAGCTCTATAGTATAACTCTAGCCGATCTTTTGGACATGTGATTTGAGGACCCAATTTAATGTCATGATAATATCATGATAGCGTCCTAGTAGTGTCATAGAACTATCGTGAAACTGGTAGGGAATTGTTATGAAACTGGCAGAGATCCGGAGAGGTTCTATCAGTTCGCCAGTTTTAGACTACTTATATGCCAGCTTGGATGTTAAGTTATTATATTCAAAGTTCTGGCCGAAATTGTGGAATAGTATTGGCCAAAATTAAGCAAATCTATACTACCCTTACTGCGTTATAGTCACGTGATACTGTTCTGGTGACACGGGCTAGTGATGGTGAATGTTTCTGAAACACATATTTTTTGTATCTAGTTGGAGATGCAATATATTATCTTAGCCCGGCCCATTTGATTGTTGGAAGTGCACCATCTTGCAACCTTACTATTGCCTATTTGTTGCTGGCATATTGGCGGGATGTTATAAGCACTTCTGAGGCCCGTTCATGGTTTAATCTAGGTTGAGGCAAAGTGTATGCTATTTTTTTGAGTATCACTAGTGTCACTAGTGTCACCAGTTAGTATACGGAACTAGTGACAGAACTAGTGACGGGTTTGCTATCTTTCTTAAGATTATTAGGCTATTTTATTTCTTTCTTGATTAGTGGTATAATTGTGGAAGAACTTGAGACTAATAATTATATGAAAAATTTATTTTTGAAGATTAATTGCAGAAGGTTTAAAAGATACTTCAATAAGTGGAATTAGATTTCTGAGAGGAGTTTTAAAATTCGTCAATGCTTAGCGATCACAGTAAAATACGGTAATGGATTTTCAACTGGACAAGCGTAGTTGTTGAGAATGGCATTAAAGCCGGCGTAAGTATTTATAATTTGATAGTTTCTTCAGATTTATTAAGGTTGCAAATTAACTATCCTTAACCGAATCATCAGGTTAGACAGATTTATTTTTAAGGAATGATGGTGGTGGTGGTGGCAACAGCATTGGTGGTCATGGTAGAAGAGATGACAACAACGCTTGCTAGGTGTGGTAGTGACGAGTGGATAGATGCTGGTGTAAAAATTAGACCAGATAGCTTTACAAGAATGGTAAACAAAAAAATATATTTATTTTTCGTATAATATTATTCTTTTTATCATAGGGTAGATTGCGTCATTTTTCACTAACACATTATTATTTATGCCAAAGATCTAATTTAGCGTGATAGCAATTTTGAAGATTTATTTATTAATTAATTGTCAGATGGTGTTTAATTATCATCATATTAATCTTTACCCCCATTATTTCTTGGTACTGAATCTAATTAGTATCATAAATGTAACTGACGGTGAAATCCCGAAAAATTCAAGTAATTCAAATTACCATTAAAGATATTACTTGATGGCTGAAAATAAAATACAATAATTCATCTATTACCTGAAAGAACT